GTGGGCTTGTGAAGGGCTGCAAACAATAGGAGCTCTGTGTGCGTTTGTACTTTAGAGGAACTATGCCAGGACATAGAGTAAGAAAAACACTAGAGGTCTCACTGCAGGCTAAAGTTGTTAGGCTTCCTGTTTCATCTAAAGCACTGTTCTCTGGGCTGGCTGAGATGAGGCTGGTGTTAGCTCATAGATACGTAGAGGATTTGAATGGGGAACATTGTGAAAAATAGGGATTCAGGTTTAAATGAATAAGCAGGGAATGTCAGGGGTTCGTTCTGTAAGGGAACCGGCCTGTAAAATGTGCAGTACTGTCCATCTTAGGGGTTTTGGCTGCCACACATTGCTGTAGCACCCTGGGATGTGCTTTTTCTTTTGAGGGTGTTGGTAGATGGGAGTAGAATGGAACCCAAATGCTCTCCTTTGTAAGTACCTCTTTAACAATTTGGGTACAGTAATAAATCAGGCTTATCAAGCCAGGAACGAAGACATTCTCCTCCCTGTCCCCCGCCCAACAAACAAATGAGACTTTTTCAGGTATAGATGTGTGAGCAGGGCAGAGAAGAGAGCCGATGGAGAATTCAGAACGACAGCTGTTAAAAGGTGAAGGCTACAGGGCAAAGCTACAGAACAGTCTGTGTAAAACCAGTTAAAAGGCATTGCTTTTATTCCCTAAAGCCCGAGCCATCTGTGTTCCTGTGAGACACACAGTTCTGCTGTAGTATTTCATATAGTTCTGAGCCTCCTTTTTAGTTTTACTGTAAATCTGTACCAAAGATCTCACCGTGGGTACACACTTGGGGTATGTCTAGACTACAGGCTTTTGTCGACAGAACTTTTGTCAACAGATACTGTCGACAAAGCTTCTGTCGACAAAGAGCGTCTAGACTACATCCAGTTCTGTAGACAAAGCAAGCTGCTTTGTCGACATGGCAGTGTAGACGCAAAGGACAGTTTAGATGCAATAATGCCTTCTGTCAACAGAACTCTGTTGACAAAAGGCGTTATTCCTCGTAAAATGAGATTTACCAGTGTCGACAAAACTGCTGAGTTCTGTCAATGTTATGTCGACAGAACTCAGTGGTAGTGTAGATGCAGGTTTAGTTTTGTCGACAAAACCCTGTAGTCTAGACACACCCTTAGGGTCGAACCTTACTCTTTATTCCTGCAATCTCCAGCAGAATCACCCGAACAGCCCCTTGCTCATATCAGCCGTTCTCTTCCCTGGGCATTCCAGTGCATGCTGCGTCCTTTGCCTTACTCAGATTCTAAAGCCTCCAAGTGGGGAAACAGAGAAATCTACCATGAGATAAGAAATGGCAAGGTGCGACGGATGCACTGCTTAGCTCCCAGCTGCCCAGAAACAACAGTCTGCAGTCCCATAGTGTTGGATGGGTTGGGCTCAGAGAGAGAGAGAGAGACCCTTCCCTCCCCAAGCAGTAAAGATCAACAGGGTCATCTTGGCCACATAACTGTAAGTCACACCGCACTGATGTAATGAAGCAGGTGTAGCAGAGACCCCCAGAGACACCACTCCTTAAAGGCCCAATCCAAAGCCTCTAAAAGTCAATGGGAGTCTTCCCTGAAGCAAGCCCTCGCTTCATTCCCATGGATCCTGCCATCTGTGCTAGCCAGCGCGCCAAGTGGGTCTCCACCGTTTGCCTTTAAACCCTCCTCTGGGTTTTGCTTATGAGGAACATTTGATCCATGGTGACCCCTGCTCCTCCTTTCGCTCCCTCGTAGGGAGGCTGAACTAAATACAAAGCATTGGGCCATCTGCCACCGAGCTGTGCTCATAATAACAGGGATTCTGGAGAGGCTCCTGAGCCTGCCTCTCCTTGCCCAGTGTCCTGGCAATTGTGAGAGTGGGGAATGGGCAGGACAAGACCCACAGTATCTGATTCCTCGTTTTACATGGGCAAAGTTATCCAGTTTCCTAGTGATTTCAGTGAAAGGTTTAAGCAGCTCTATTCCCATCCCCTGCTGCTGCCTCTTTCCTTCCTTTAAAGCAGAGCTAATCAACATGCGGCCCGCTTGTTTGTGGCCCATGGTGCCATTTGGGTTTACACGGAGCTCAACATGTGCCTGCGGGTGGAAGCGAAAACAAAAAAGTAGTCGATATAATGGTCTTCTGTTGATATGTGTTTTAGGAGTTAAATTCCTGGACTGTCATTGCTCATTAAAAGTGCTGACATCGGGTAAATATTGCATTTTATGAATATCAGCAGAACTGACTTAAATGGGGCCTGCGTGTCGTACAGTCTTGCCTTAATCTTTGATACATGCCCATTGATGTGAAATAAGCTATTTGCATATATAGTTGCATATATATGCAACCGCACTTAAGTTGCAGACTTGGGCATGTGCTGTGAGTATCATTGTGGCCCCTGGGGCTTCCAAAGTTGAGTAGCCCTGCTTTAAAGGGACCCTCAAAATTGGCCTTTTGTTGGTGGTTTGGGAAACATTTGGGAGGAATCTGTTTTAATTTAGACCTGCCAATAAAAGGAGCTAAACCCCTCTCTCTTTTGCCTTGGCGGCAGCTATTAAAGTGCAGTACTCACTTTTGGCCATGATCTTAAAGACCAGCTAATGACTCTCCTTGAAGAGGCCAACACGATGATTTATGAGATTAGCTTTAAAGTGAGCAAGGCTGACATCTTGCCCATAAATCTCTTTAATTCAGCACTGTAATTTTTCTTTACAAACATAAACAATGTGAATAGACTAGCTTAGCAGATTTGCCCCACAAAAAACCCCTATAAAGGTCTGTACCTGGACTAAAAGCATATGTTTTCTTTAACGTGGGTTGGCCCCCATTCACAAAGGCCAGATGAAAATGTGGTTTAGTTGCAACCAAGTTTAATAACAGTTATTGTACGTTTCTTTTGGCTGCATAGCTAGAGCCATAATTAACCCTTGTACTGCTCTGCGGATGAATCTTTTACATCTGTGGGGATGGCGCTTACTTTGCAGTATGGATTAATAGCCCGGTACTGCTCAACTTGAGCAAAGTTTGTGGCCGTACGAGTTGTTTTCTATAACAGGTTGCTGCCCCTCTGACGAGTCTCTTAGAATTCTGCTGCAGGGGAGGGTGAGCAGTTGAGCGGTTGCTCTCACATGTTGCTGAATGTCTTTCTTGCCTTCAGTGCTGGGTAATGGGTGTTTCTTCAGAACTTTCGATTTATTAATCGGCAGATTGGAATTGTCAGTGGTGTAGGTACACTGAAGCCTTCTGCTGCCTTTGAAAGCTCCCGAGGCTACCTCTGCACAGCAGAGCTGTGTGAGCATTCTGGTTTGGAAAATATGATGGTGTTAGTGATGGGCATGGCTTGAAAGAGCGAGAAGTTTAAGTTTGAATCCATAGGTTTCCTGCAATTCTCTAAGGGTACATCTAGATTACAAGCCTCTTTCGAAAGAGAGCATCTAGACAGCAACCAGTACTTTCACAAAAGAGAGCCGCTTTTTCGAAAGACAGCACCAAGGCAGTCTGGATGCTCTCTTTTGAAAAAGCACTGTTTGTGTTCAATAATGCCTTTTTTCGAAAGAGCACTTTTGAAAAAAGGCGTTATTCCTCGTAAAATGAGGTTTTCTGCAGTTGAAAAAACTGACTCTTCTTTCAATTTAATTTCAAAAAAAATGTGGCAGCAGTCTAGATTCAGGTGAAGTTTTTTTTTTTTAAAAAAGGCCACTTTTTAAAAAAAAAAACCCCTGTAGTCTAGACACACCTTAACCTTCTCTAATCTGGATATCAGGTTTGAATTTTTCAAGTTCTTTTCTATGAAATTCCAGGTGCTTCCTAATTTGCCAGTAATTCACTAATACTGGAAGGACAGCTTAGTTCCCTCAATATTGCTGTACCTCCACTTCCAGCCAAAGTCTTAAAGAGATGCAGAGTGTGAAAATTCAAAAGACCTAAAGAAAAAGTTAACCCACTTCCTCCGAACCTCCAGAAAGGCTTGGTGAGCATTTTGGGTGGAGACTGCAGTCTCCTCATCCACCAGTTTGCCCATCACTGGGTTTTCCAAGGGGCTAGCAAAGGGCCACAGCCTCAAGTGGGGAAGCTGAGCCAAGCCAATGGAGGCAGTTAGTGGGGGTGGAGGGAAGCTGTCACCTGAGGCAGCTAGCCAGCAGTTTATAGTCAAAGTAGCTGTGTTCCTGGTGGCGCACCTGCATTGGCTCACTGAGGAACAGAGGGGCTACAAGCAGTAGGCCTAATCCTCTGAGCTACTAAGTTCTTCCAACTCCCTCTTGTTCACCTGCATGGGCACTTCCATTTTCAGCTGTGTAATTCTGACCGAGAAATTATGCAAACTGCTTTGCCCATGACTCTGCCCAGGCCTGAGTGACCATAGGTGTTAACTGGTGAGATGAAGGACTTTTTAACTTGGCTGCTGGTAATCTGTTAATTAGTTCTGCCACAGCTATTTGAACAATGCCTTTGCCAATTAACCCAATCCTAACAATCCATTGTGTCCTGTGGTTACAGCAGAGAAAATCAAGGTGAAAAATTGAGGGGCACTGTGTTCTCCCACCCCTGTGATCTCACACAATCTCATGCTGGCTCCTGGCCATGCTATCTCTTCACTGCTTTCACCAGCTGAGACTTCTTCTGCAGAAACCTAAATAAGCACAGAAGGTGCAGAATTACGTGAGATTGTCCCATTACTGCATCTAATATCATCATAAGACTCAGGTGGCATCAATCTGATAGTCAGTTGCTTATCCCTCATTTCTTTAGGCCTTTTTGCCCTATTCCTTCCTCCCTCACCTAACCAGCCAGCTCCTTTCTGTCTTATCCTTCCTCTCTCCCTGCCACTCAGCTGATACAGAATCTGGTCTCCTTGCCTCTCAATACTATTTGCTCTGGATATTGTCTGTGATCCAGACCCAATTCCCTTTCTTGGCGCCCACAGCTTCATTTTCCTCTCCAGCTCTGAGTTTCTCTTCCCACCTCAGACCCTCAGCTTTCTTCTCTCTTGGTTCC